CCCTGCCCAGCTCCTTTATCCTACCCTGTCCCTATCGAGCTTGGTTCTTTAAAGCTATCACATAGGTTTGTTGTAATGCCAGAGGGCCCCGCGAACCTCCTCGGGCGGGATGTGCTGGACAAACTGGGGGCACACATATATTGCACCCCCGAGGGGCTCCACATGTCCGTTCCAGACTCGGCGGTTGCTTCTCTTATGGCATCGGTTACCCCTATTCCTGGTGTGCCCTCTGAATTGTTCAGTGTTCCCCACACTTTGTGGAGCACAAATCCTACTGATGTGGGTCTTCTTAAATCAGCCATTCCAGTGAGTCTGGAAACAAGGGGCGGACCGCCTCCATCTTTAAAACAATACCCCTTGCCGAGGGAGGCGGAAGAAGGCATCTCACTTCTTATTGACAGCTATTTGACTCAGGGGCTTTTAGTTCCCTGACCTGTAATACTCCCATTCTTCCAGTAAGGAAGCCTAAACCGGGACCAGACAGGCGTCCAGTCTATTGATTTATTCAGGATCTACGGGCTATAAATGGTTATGTTATAGCCCCCCATCCAGTTGTCCCTGATCCGACCACCACTCTAACACTGATTCCTCAGTCAGCCACTTGCTTTACTGTCATAGATTTGTGTGCAGCATTTTTCAGTATCCCTTTGCACCCTGATTCTCAATATTATTCGCATTTACCTGGAAGGGTCAACAGCTAACATGGACGCGTCTTCCCCAGGAGTTCTCAGGATCCCCCACTATTTTTTCCCGGATTCTCATCGAGGATTTAAAAGACATTGTCTTGCCTAGTTCGTCTGTCCTGGTTCAGTATGTGGATGATTTGTTAATTGCCGCCTCAGATCATAACGCATGTTTAATTGACTCTGTTGTTTTGCTTACTGCATTAGCTAATAAGGGTCATCGTGCATCTCCATCCAAGTTGCAGCTGTGCCTAGATCAGGTAATTTATTTGGGCTTTGTAATTAGGCCTGGGGAGTGCCTACTCTCCCCTGATAGGGTGCGGGCAATCCAGGATTACCTGCGTCCGACTACCAAAAAGCAGTTACGGGCTTTCCTGGGGGCTGCAGGGTTCTGCTGACCCTGGGTCGTGGCTTTTGGGGAATTGGTGAAACCATTAGTCCGAGCTACTACAACGCTGACCCCCAATCCTGTTTCCTGGGCCCCGGAAATGGAAAGCGCTTTTAAATCCATCAAAAAGGCTCTGATCTCTGCGCCCGCCTTGGGATTTCCAGATTACGGTAAACCATTTTCTCTTTTCACTCTCGAATGGCAGGGGGTGGCTAGCGGCGTCCTTTTGCAATACCTGGGGGATTGCCCACGCCCCGTAGCCTATTACTCAGTACAACTGGACCCTGTTATTCAGGGCTCTGTCTCCTGTGTATGGTCTGTTGCTGCTGCTGTTGTCATGGTTGAACAGTCACGACCTATTGTTTTGGGGCACCCTCTCACTGTCTGGGTCCCTCATGAGGTTGAAATTCTCTTAAAACAGCATTCTACACAGGCATTGTCTCCACAGCGGGCTCACAAATATGAACTAATCCTGTTGGCCGCTGACAACGTTACTTTACGCCGCTGCAAAGTCCTCAATCCAGCCACAATGCTACCCCTCCCGGAGGATGGTACCCCTCACCATGTATGCATGGATGTCATCGTGCAGGATGGTAAGCCCCTCCTGGATTTAGCTGACTCCCCTTTAGTTAAGCCTGATTTACTTCTTTTCACAGTTGGGTCCTCATACTATTTAGATGGCCACCGGGTCTCGGGCTATTCGGTTACCTCTCAGGCAGATGTTATCGAGGCTGCCCCCTTACCACCTTCCTTCAGCGCCCAGAGTGCAGAGTTATATGCGCTTACCAGGGCTTGTTTGTTGTCTTCAGAAAGAACTGTTACCATCTATACGGACTCTAAGTATGCTTTTGGTGTTTGCCATGCTACAGGCCAGCTCTGGAAGCAACGAGGATTTTTAACCTCCTCAGGCACAAAAATCGCTAATGGCCCTCTAATCTCTGCCCTTTTGGAAGCTATTCAGGCCCCTCGCCAGGTCGCGGTGGTTCATTGTTATGCGCACAGGCAGTCTAACAGTTTTGTATCTCAGGGCAATGCATTAGCTGATTCAGCCGCAAAGGCTGCAGCTCTACAGCCCCTTCTGGTTTCGGCTTCCCTCCCCCTGGATGTGTCCTTCCAACCTGCTGACTGGACACTGCTGTATGCTGAAGTATCCTTGGAGGAGCTGCGAGACTGGAAACGCTGGGAGGGATCTGAGGGTCCCGATAAGGTTTGGCTAATCGGGAACAAACCTTTTCTCCCCCGCCGTTATCTACTCCCAGCTGCTCATTATTTTCATTCCCTGGGTCACGCTGGTATTCAGGGCACGGTGGCTGCCATACTAAAGTTTTGGACAGCACCGCATGTTTATCCCGCGGTAAAGCAGGCTCTTGGCTCCTGCCCTACTTGCCTGGCCTTCTCTGCTAAGACTCGGCTCGATGTCAACTCAAAGGGGGGAGACCCTAGGCAAACTTCCCATTTCAGCGCTTGCAGATGGACTACGCAGAAATGCCTAAATGCTCAGGGTTTCACCACCTCCTTGTTATAGTGGACCAACTTTCCGGATGGCCTGAAGCAATATCAACCAGAAAGGCAGATGCAAGATCTGTGGTGAAGTTCTTAATGAAAGACATTGTACCCAGGTTTGGTGTCCCTGAAGTCATTGATTCAGATCGGGGCTCACACTTTACTGCAAAGATTTTGGAGGAACTGTACCCGTGCTTGGGGATTATCTGACAATTACACACCCCGTACCACCCCCAGTCTGCAGGTCAGGTGGAACGCATGAACCGAACAATAAAGACAATGGTAGCAAAGTTCTGTAAGGAGACTGAACTTAAGTGGCCAGAGGCCTTGCCTATAGTTTTATGGCATATAAGACAAATGCCATGCATGCCCCTAGGCCTGTCCCCATTTGAGGTGCTGTTTGGAAGACCAGCTTTAGTCCCGGGAACTTATGTTCCTGCACATGCTAGCCTCTTGGATGGAGATGAAACTTTGGCCAGATATGTTGCTAGACTGCAGAAGGAGCTGACTGACAACGAGTCTGAAGCTCAGTTGTTTCAAACCGCACCCTTAGGGTTACAGGTTCATTCCTTTAAACCAGGGGATTGGGTAATGGTAAAAAAGATCCCCCGCACTGACCCACTGGAACCCCGGTGGGAGGAGCCGTACCAGGTTCTGTCATGTACTTATTCTGCTTTAAAAGTTGCAGGTAAAGGTTCCTGGATTCACCATAGCTACGTCAAGTTGGCGACGGGACCCCCACCTGACCCTGGCGAGTCAGCAGACTAGCCACTTCACGAATGAACACCACAACCAACCCATGGACTGAGCTTTCCAGCTACTGGGACCTTCACAGCCCACCAGGACTTTTTGTGTTCCTGTTTATTGGACTTACATTGGGGGTAGTGTTTTTTGTATGGTACAGGAGAGGATGTCGACATTGGTATGGTTTGCCTGGGGGGTCCTCTCCCTATTCCCAAGTCCAGTACAAGGATGGGAGGGCAATAGCTTCTTGAATTTAACCCACCCTATCAAACAGGGTGTAAATCGAATGCAGTGTTGGATTTGTATTCATATCCCCACATATTTGGGTCAGGGGGTCCCGTTGGTAGGGGTACCTATTCCCCTTAATCGAACACTCCAAACTAAGCTATGGGCAAACACTACATTTAACTGGAATGTTACAATCCAAATATGGTCTATTGATATGGTGGCCCAGCGTAATTATTCTTTGTGTGTCACGACGTAAGGGCATAGAAAATACAGTTTTTGTAGGGAATTAGTGGGGTGCAAGGACACCACCCAAATCAGCTCTGGTGCAGGAGGCCCCTCCACCTACTCCAGGACCCCGTGGCCAGTCTCCGAGGGGTCTGGTTGGTATTGGTTATGCAATCACACAGCCTATAAGGTTCTCCCAGCAGGATGGTGTGGTACATGTACCTTAGGGGCTACAGTACTCGCCGTGACAGTACACCAGAACCTGACCCGGGGAGAAATCCACAATCTAGTATGGAGGGACCGACAAAGTATTCCTTTAAACCACCTTTCTCAACAGCCCAAAGGCTTTCACTCCTTTGTGCATTGGTTTCTGCCATGGTTGGGAGCTGGAAAGCGAGCTGGAAAAAGCTATAGTTAACATTTCAGCTGCTTTGGAATTAATGGCAAATGCTACTGCAGATGCTCTCTCTGCCCTTCAAATTGAAGTAACTCAGCTATCCCAAACTACATTGCAAAACCGTCTAGCCCTGGATTATCTTTTGCAAATCAGGGCGGGGTTTGTGCTCTGGTCAACTCAAGTTGTTGTGTATTTGTAAATCAGCACCATAGGGTGGAAACTGACATCCACATCCTCAAGCAACAGGCAGCCCTATTCCACCACGTCAGCCTTGACAATACCAGCGCCAGATTCCAGGAGGTCTGGGACTGGCTCACCTCATGGCTACCGGATGTGGGGACTTGGGGACGGCGTATTTTGTATTTACTTTTTTTGATTGTTATTGTTTTTGCGTTATTTTTTGTATGCCTACAATGCTGCAGTATGTGCTGTCGGCAGTTGCTAACCCTGCAGCACAGTTACTCAGCCCCGATATAGCTTACTGACGTACAAAAAAAAAGGGAAGAATGTTAAGGAAAAGTTAGCACATATGACTCCATTTTGGTTTGGGGCCCACCATTGTCTAAAAGCAAGCACATCATGCACTAGGAGGAGTGTTCCTTAGATACTGCATTCCTGTGAAAATCCTCCCCCTTGTCTCCAGCCTGTCTTGACTCCTGGTATCTGTTCTTTGTCTGTTCCTAACTCCCTATCTCCTGGCCTTTGATGTGAGGCCTCCCATCCTGATAATAAAAGTTACTGATGCATTGCTTTAGGACCATGCTGTGTAATTAACATACTAGTTTAGCACGAGGAATACACCAAGCAGGGATAGGTGGTAGATAAGAAAAGGGTTTGTTTATTGGCTAAGGTTTCCGATGCACGAGGGCAACACGCTTTGCTAAGAGGTATATAACCTTTATATAATCTGTATTCGGGGTCCCCTCCTGGCTAGCAGGGGGGCACCATGCTTGAGCGTAATAAACTTGGTGTTTTTTGGGAACTCTGCAGTTGTGGACTTTGTTCATGTGCCTCAGCCTAGATTCGAACTGTGTGTGTCCTACCAGGTATAATTCGCAGCAGTTGTGTGCGTGTCCTATCAGGTATAATTCTTAACACATGGTCACTGCCTCCCAGGTTCCCATCCACTTTTGCTTCCCCTACTAATTCTTCCCGGTTTGTGAGCAGCAGGTCAAGAAGAGCTCTGCCCCTAGTTGGTTCCTCCAGCACTTGCACCAGGAAATTGTCCCCTACACTTTCCAAAAGGTTCCTGGATTGTCTGTGCACTGCTGTATTGCTCTCCCAGCAGATATCAGGGTGATTGAAGTCTCCCATGAGAACCAGGGCCTGCGATCTAGTAACTTCTGTTAGTTGCCAGAAGAAAGCCTCATCCCCCTGGTCCGCTGGTCCCACCATGGCAGACTCCCACCATGACATCACCCTTGTTGCTCACACTTCTAAATTTAATCCAGAGACTCTCAGGTTTTTCTGCAGTTTCATACCGGAGCTCTGAGCAGTCATACTGCTCTCTTACATACAATGCAACTCCCCTACCTTTTCTGCCCTGCCTGTCCTTCCTGAACAGTTTATATCTATCCATGACAGTACTCTAGTCATGTGAGTTATCCCATCAAGTCTCTGTTATTCCAATCACATGATAATTCCTTGATTGTGCCAGGACTTCCAGTTCTCCCTGCTTGTTTCCCAGGCTTCTTGCATTTGTGTATAGGCACTTGAGATAACTTGCTGTTTGTCCTGCTTTCTTAGTATGAGGCAGGAGCCCTCCCCTCTCACACTGTCCTGCTTGTGCTTCCTCCCGTATCCCACTTCCCCAATTACCTCAGGGCTTTGGTCTCCTTCCCCCGGTGAACCTAGTTTAAAGCCCTCCTCACTAGGTTAGCCAGCCTGCTTGCGAAGATGCTCTTCCCTCTCTTAGTTAGGTGGAGCCCGTCTCTGCCTAGCACTCCTCCTTCTTGGAACACCATCCCATGGTCAAAGAATCCAAAACCTTCTCTCCAACACCACTTGTGTAGCCATTCGTTGACTTCCATGATTCGACGGTCTCTACCCAGGCCTTTTCCTTCCATGGGGAGGATGGACGAGAACACCACTTGCGCCTCAAACTCCTTTATCCTTCTTCCCAGAGCCACATAGTCCACAGTGATTCGCTCAAGGTCATTCTTGGCAGTATCATTGGTGCCCACATGGAGAAGCAGGAAGGGGTAGCAATCCGAGGGCTTGATGAGTCTCGGCAGTCTCTCCGTCACATCATGAATCCTAGCTCCTGGCAAGCAACAGACTTCTCGGTTTTCCCGGTTGGGGCAGCAGATAGATGACTCAGTACCCCTGAGGAGAGAGTCCCCGACCACCACCACCCGCCTCCTTCTCTTGGGAGCGGTGGTCGTGGAACCCCCATCCCTAAGACAGTGCATCTCATGCCTTCCAATTGGTGGAGTTTCCTTCTGTTCCCTTCCCTCAGATGTAGCATCTGGTCCACTCTCCTCATTAGTACCTGTGGAGAGAAAATGAAAACGGTTACTTACCTGTATCTGCTTTGCTGGTACATGGATGCTCCCCTTTCTTCTTCGGGAGGTTACATGTTGCCAAATTTCTTCACCATCCTCCTGTCCCCGCTGCACAGCCTGCTCTGAATCTCCAGAACATTGTGTCCGTAGAAGCATATCCTGATGTCTGTCCAGGAAATCTTCAGTTTCTCTTATGCAACGCAGGGTCGATACTTGTTTCTCCAGACCTTGAACCTTCTCTTCCAATATGGAGGCCAGCTTGCCCTTTGTGCAGACAAAGTCGCTTCTGTCCTGTGGAAGAAAGACAAACATGGCACATCCAGTGCAGGTCACAACAGCTGAACATTCCCCATCCATATTACCTTCCTTCTACGAGCTTCCTCAGGAGTTCTAGTAACTACTCAGAGAAACCGGCAAGATGTAAGCCTCAGTGGGCTCTCCCCAGGCAAACTCCCTCTGTTAGCCTCTCTGCTGTTTGCCGCTCAGCTGGTTCGCAGCTGACTGGCTTTTTATAACAGTCAGGCCCACTCAAGGCTCACCTGGAACAAAGCACTCCCAATTCACACTGTCAAACTGTCCCCACAACAGACACTCAGATACTCACCAACACAGCCTCCCTAATGCAGCCCTTAGTGTACCTCCTTTCAGACAGATCCCAGGCAAACTCCCTCTGTTAGCCTCTCTGCTGTTCGCTGCTCAGCTGGTTCACAGCTGACTGGCTTTTTATAACAGTCAGGCCCACTCAAGGCTAGGGGTATGGGGCAGTGCAAGGCTGGCTTTGGACACACTTCCTCTTCCTGTAGAACTTGTTCAAACCCTCTCACCCCAGCCTCACCCACAAGCTGCCACCACCTGGCCTTTGCTCTTACCTGGAGTTCTTATGGTGTGATAGCAATCGGCCTGCTGCTCTGAGAGCAGAGCAGTCTGGGATGCTCCCCATACCTCTAGCCATGCCAGTTACACCTTCTCCTGGTGCTGAGCAGCAGTCTGCCCTCAAGGAGACCACCTGCAAAACACAAGACTCTGCAAACCTTGCTCAGGCCAGGAAGGGCTGCTCTTGTCCTTGGAAGTCCTGTGCCCTTACCCCTGACCATGCCCATCTGGCAGCGGTTGCCTCTGGTAATGCCAGCATGCTTGCAAGGCCTCTGTCACTCCCATCACTGAGACCTGCCTCCTGCCTTGATGCCAGCATGGCCAGCCTTATCTCCAAGGGACACACTGTAGTTGCAGCTCCAAGCAGCTGGAAGGCTTTGGTGGTTCCCTTTCCCTGTTCTCTGTAGCTCTGGAGTCAGAGGAGCAGAGAGCTGCAGACAGGCTTAGCCCTGTGGGACTATTGCTGCTCGGTGTAGAGCCCTGGCCCGTCCACAGTAATGGAGGATCCTGACCCGGACAATAGCTATTTCCATGAGCCAGCAGAAGAAGCCCCCTGGCCAGTTACTCATGAGAAGGTCTCCCAGTTGGTGGGTGGCTTATTTCCTGAAGCAGGAAGGTTTGTCGCCCTGATCTTTTTTTTTTTTTTTCCTTTCTAGCATTACCATGGATATTCCTAATATTCATTGCAAAATTTAATCCTTTCTGGCATCCTGCTGAGATTTTTGGCCTCAATACTTGTGGCAGCGAGTTCCACAGGTTAATTATAGGTTAGATAAGAAAGTACTTCCCTTTATCCATTTTAAATGTGTTGCCTTTCTAATGGTAGGAGGAATGGGAGCTCCCACTTTATGTTCTCTTAAGCCATTCTTTATTTTCTCTGTCTCCACCAGAGCAATGGTTCTCCTGGAGCTGTCCGGTGACACACCAGTCTTCATTCTGGAGTGGTGATAATTAACTCAGAATCCAGTAATGCCTGTGAGTCATCCCAGCTCTCCCCCTGCACCCCCACTGTGCATCACCTTCTACTTATTTACAATAGAAAGCATTTAATCTGCCACAGCTTTGCCCAGCTTCATGGGTCTGTAACCTGGATCACATTGGAAAGGCCCATTCTGGGACAAATGGTGCAGTCTGGAATTAACGGTGCAATTAGTATGTCAGCCAAAGTCAGAATTCTTCCTATTTTGCTGTGCTCTCCACACTTTATGATCAAGAAGTTGTGCCCACACATTGCATGCTGGCCTGGACACACACCCATATGCACTCCCACTGTTACTGACACACGCACACTGTGAGCGAGCTCCAAACATTGCCACCGCTGCTTTTGATGCTGCATAAACTTGAGCAGATCTGGAGAAGTCTTCTTTTCTCCCATGTCTCTGGCTATGAATTCTCCCTTTCTCAGTACCTGTACTGCTCACCTAGAATCCAACATGTCTGAGCTGTGGCCCGGCTGGGATTCCAGTTCAGTTCCACCCTGCACTTGTATCCAGTGAGTCTCTCTCCTCCTGTGGTTGGACAACAGGGGCTGCATGCCGAATCGTTAGGATTGCAGGGCTGCTGCTCCAGAGAATGATAGTTCAGAGTGGTTGTGGGAACAGAAACTGGGCGATGGAGGGGTTGTCTCAGCAGAAGGTGTAGTGGGAGGGGCTGGTGAATGATGGGGCTAGCAGGTGAGAAGCACAAATAGGTTTGACTGATACACAGTGGAAACGCCAATCAATTTTGTCAGAGTAAAAATGACTAACATCAATTCAGTACAAATCTCTGGACTTCATGCCATGAATTTTATTTTCTCCCATTAAACTATTCATTTGGCAATAAATCTACTCCTCCCCCCCCCCCCCCCCCCCCCACAGCACCCCAGAGCCAGAATTTCACATGGCTGTTATCTCCCATTTCAGCACAGAAGGTTCACAAGTGCCACAGAGATGGTGTGAGTGCCTCGGTGCTGGCTGTTCCCTGGGGCAGTGACAGAGCACCCAGGAGGCAGCTGGGTCACTCTGCTGAGAGGTCCCTAGGAGGTAAGGTCATAGTTGAATTTGGTGTTCCACTGCTGTAGCAGAGCACTGCGCTGTGTTAGGAGCTGTGATATAGCAGAGGTGATCCAGGGAGCGCTCAGGTTCTGGTGGTGTGTTCCAGCAAGGGGGATGTAGTTGTGTCTCAGTGTTGGAGGTCTCAGGCAACTGTAAGAAAACAGAGGGGATACAGTCCTGCTGGAGATTCCTGGCTGCTGGGATACAGAAGAGCTGACCCAGCTGCTGTATTACAGTGGAGAAAATGCAGTCATGGCTCAGTCTTGCTGGTTCCTGAAAGCTGTAATATGGCAGAGGCTGGGCAGTTGTGGTTCCCTGGTGCTGTAAAATTATGGAAGGAGAGCTGTCCTGGGTGCTGGGATATGGTCATGAAAATTTCTCTCCCCACTGGGCTCTACCGCAGTCTCTATTGCACACACTGTTTCTCTAGGGCAGACCCTGACTCTCCTGGTCTTCTGCCCAGCTTGGGGCCTTCTGACAAAGATGTTTGAAGAAAACCTCTTGCTGCCCTCTCAATGTTGGGAGACACAGGACCAGCACAGGCTCCTTGGGGAAACGCTTTGGTGCAGACTTCCCAAGGACCAGAGAAAACATGAGCCCTGCTCTTCCAGACAGTGTAGAGCCCTGCAATGTGATGTTGACATAAACTGTGACCATATAGATCATTGTTGCAACCACTATTCTATATTTGCAGCAAATATTGTACAAAGGTTGTCGTGTGAGGTGTCTATGAAAAGGTTATGATTTGCTGGTTATGATTATGGTATCTGTTTGTATGTATCATTTTTGTAGTTGAAGTTATGAATATTGGCTGTGTACTTGTATCTCAATGTGTTTGATTCTAAGTAGCCTCAGTGAAACATTTGGTCAGCTTCTTGAGAAAGGACTATTCGCAGTAAGTGCCCAATCAAGAAATACTTAATTGACAATGGACTTTGGGAGACATCAATCCACATCTGAGCTTTCCTGGGAACGTTCAAACTAACATGTAAACAGTTCTTTACAGGCCAACACCACTGAGTCATGCATGGACATGTGACTTGCCTATGTGACTCCGAACTCCATCTTGCTGCTGTGATTTCCACAGTAAGAACAAAGGGGTGTCCTTCCACATGTCAGAGGATATAAAAGGCCCTGGAAACCCCTCCATTTTGTCTTCAATCCTGCTTCTGACTTCTGGAGGAACTTTGCTACAAACTCAAGCTCTGAACAAAGGACTGAATGGCCCATCCAAGCTGTGGATATACTCCAGAGACTTGATTTAAACCTGCAGTTTATTACATCACTGCTACAAGCCTGAACCAAGAACTTTGCCATTACTGTATGTAATTGATTCCTTCAACCAATTTTAGTTCTCATCTATCTTTCTTTTTATGAATAAACCTTTAGATTTTTAGATTCTAAAGGATTGGTAACAGTGTGATTTGTGGGTAAGATCTGACTTGTATATTGAGCTGGATCTGAGGCTTGGTCCTTTGGGATCAGGGGAACCTTTTTTCTTTTACTGGGGTATTGGCTTTCATAACCATTCGTCCCTGTAATGAGTGGCTGCTGGTGATGATACTGGGAAACTGGAGAGTCTAAGGGAATTGCTTGTATGACTTCTGGTTAGCCTGTGGAGTAAAACCGAAGTCCTCTCTGTTTGGCTGATTTGGTGTGCCTTAGTAATAAAGGAAACCCAGCCTTGGGCTGTAACTGCCCTGCTCTAAGCAATTTGTCCTGAATTGATACTCTCAGTTGTGTCCCAGCAAGGCAGCATCGTCACAGGCCAGAGAAAACATGAGCCCTGCTCCCCCAGACAGTGCAGAGCCCTGCAGAGCAAGGGCCATGGGAACCACCCATCCTGCTTCTAGTTTGTTTGTTTACTTTCAGTGCTGAGCTGCTGCTGTGGAGGGACGGTTCCCTTCTTCCCCATTCTGCTACTGGATCTGCTGCCCAGTGCTGGGCTCTCTGTGGCTGAGGACTCACCCTTCTGAACTCCCTCTTGCCAGCAGGGGCCTGGCATTCAGCCCAGGAACCTCCTGAACACTGTAGAGACTGACAGGGTACATTCAGAGCATCCCCTCTCCCCAGCACAGCCTGGCCTTGGTGGGAGAGAAGAATGGGGGAGAGTCCAGAAACTTCTTCCAGTCCAGGACATGGGCAGAGGAGAACTTTGTATGAGCAGCGGTTCCCAGACTGTGGTGTACAGGGCACTTGCTGGCTGGCTGCTCACATGGTGCTAGTGCCCCGTCTTCACATTCAGCTGAGGGAGGGGAAAGAGAGACAAATTAGATGCAGAATAGAGGGCACTATTAACTGCTTTCCAGGGGGGCACATGCTCATTGTAATGACAATCGTGACCTGTGCACTAACCCATCCCTCATGGTGCCAAGTGCGTGCTGCAGCTGCCACCCGGATAAATCGCAATGGGGAATATGAGAAGTGGGGCTGATGAGGGGGACAGGAAGGAAGGGGGGGGCAAACCAAGGGGAAGAAGAGGGGAGTTGTGGGTGTGAGGCGAGAGGAAACAGGAAGGGAGGAGAGGCAGGAGCTGGGCTGGGCAACGTCTGGGAAGTAGGCAGCTGGATCTTGTGGTTGGAGAAAGGATTGGTGTCAGAGAGTCAAGCCAAGGGTTGGAGCCAGTCGGAGACCAAGAGCAAGGATGAGGAACAAGGCAGGAAGCAGGAACCTGGAGCAAGACAGGATCCGGTGTAGCAGCCAAGTAGAGTCCAGTTGTGTGGACAACTTCCTGGGCCTTTCTTTGGTTTTAAATAGGAAGCCCTGACCAATGAGAGATCCTTTGAGCAAGGGGTTGGATTAGATGACCTCCTGTGGTCTCTTCCAACCCTAATCTTCTA